TCTCCGGTGTTGAGGACGGTGATTGGGGGCTCCCGGGTCTGCGGGGCAAGGCTGAAGCAAGGCGAACCCGGGCCCGCCCCCTCCCCTGCCTCGTTCCCCACGTGCAGCGTCCCCCTCCCCACCTTGGGACCGCTGGATGGCCGAAGTTACCTCTTCCCTTTTTTTTAATAAGATGTTCATTGCTCTGTCATTCATAGCCAAAAGGGGAAAAAACACAGAAAAAGAATCCTATGCTATCGAGGAGCGGAAGAAGAAAGACATTAAAAAGTGCTATTACCCCAAAGTGACAACAAAAATAAAAACTTAACCTGGCGTAGCGTTCCTTGAGGTCATTTAGTCTGACCCAGAAGCGTGGCTTTCCATCTTTGGACGGCGGTGGTGCATGGCAGGGACCTAATGCTAAACCCAGTGTGCGATGGTGACTCCCCCCGTCCCTCTTTGCCCCCGCCTCAGCTGGGTCCTATAAGGCGGCTCTGTCTTGAAGAGAGCACTCTGGCCATGCTCAGAAGCACCTTTCCCCATTTCACGGCTTGTGGGGAGTCGGTGAAGCACTGCTTCAAAAGCTCCTCCTTCAAACGGAGTCCCCACCACGAGGTGATCCTCTTCGGCACAACCCCCCGCCCCATTTCTAATTTGGGGAAGCGTTAAGATTCCTGCGTGTCGGAATTCAGTCCACGTTCTTCCACCGGGCACGGAAGAATCAGGGGATCTGGAGAAATGCTTCTGGACTCTGCCAGGGTGGCTAAGAGAATCCGTTGGGATCGGTTTCGTGCAGATGGTTTGGACCAGAACCATCCCTTTGCTCAGCATCCCGGTGGAGTGCCCTACCTGACCACTAGAGGGCCCTACAGGGTTGGTGTTCCTGCCCCCTCTCCTGCCCCCTAGTGCCCATCCAGAGCTTTGCACCCCAGATCCAAAAATCCTTGCTCAAGAGCTTGGGCTCGGTCTATTCCCTTCCTTAAATTTGTAAAGGACCCCTTAAAAAACAGTGGGGTCGGGGTGGGTCAAGGGGTTGTTTTCAAGCAGGGCCTTCTTGAGACCAAAACTGGGAGAGCGTGGCGCTCTGCACATGCTCAACAGTCCTGGGCGCTGGAAAGCAAAGGAGCGCCAAGCTAGCGTCTCATCCACCCCCCTCTTTCGGTCCTCCTTCCCCTCCTCTCCTCCCCTGTCCCTCCCCTCGATGGGGAGGGAGGGACCCCCGTTTGAATGCCCCCATTCAAATGGAAAACAATGCCTGAAATAAAATGCCAGCTCCTTCGCCTGCCCCAAGAAAAGAGCCATGGTGAGCCCCGACTGCAGACCGGGCCGGAGGAGAAGAGAACTCCCTTCTTTGCACAAGGTTGGTGACTTGGAAATGCTCAGGGAAGAGGGGGGGGGGGAAGGATACTGCCCGCCCCCCATTTTGCAAGAAAGGCATGTCTGCTTTTGCAGGTCAGTCCTGGATGGGAGACCTGCTGGAAATCTCCCTTCCTCCCCATCTTCAAGGCCAATGGAAGCCACGGGAGACAAAATAGCAAGGCTTCTGAGCACGTGCAGAATGCAACTGCTCCCTGCTGATGCGCCCTGGGTCCACATCCAGAAATCTCGGGGTTGGGAAGGAAAACATTTCCCCTCCTTGTCCCGGGGGGGACATCTGCATGTGCTCAGAGGCTGGCTCAGCTGTTCCTACTTCATGCCACTCAAGGACTTAAGCCTGGCCAAGATTAAACTCAGCTTAACAAGCTGAAACTTAGCCTTTACGGTAACCCTCTCCCAGGTGTTGAGCCCAGCTCAGCGGCGAATTAATTCACTTTTTTCCTGATTTCGAGGAGCTTTGTTGCCATGACTTTAAACCCATCTTCTGCTTCTCCAGGTCTCCAAGCCCCTCATGGAGAAGAAAAGACGGGCGCGGATCAATTTCTCTCTGGAACAACTCAGACTTCTGCTGGAAAAACACTATTCCCACCAGGTAGGACTTTGAGAAAATCCTCAGGAATCTGCCAACGGCAGAGAGTAAAGCCGAACGCTCCATCCATCAGTCTTCCTCCCAGCTGGGAAGATGCAACTCAACCTAGAATGAGTAAATTGGGAGCAAGCTCTCTGCTCCTTTCTACTGGGAGCACGTCTCTAGCAAAAGTAAGAGGAGGGCTTCATTTCCCAGCTTCCCAATTCTCTCCCTTCTTCGGCACCTCCGGGACAAAAGCATCTGGACAGGAAATGGTCCTTCCTCCCCTCTGAGAATTCGCCTAATAAAAACTTCTGCCAACTTTTGCAGATCCAAAAACGCAAACTGGAGAAAGCAGACATTTTGGAGCTGAGCGTCCAGTACATGCAAAGCCTCCAGCGCTCTGCCCAAGGTAAAACTTTAAATTAAAAAAAACAACACTAAACTACACGACCTGGGGGTGGGTGAGGGGGTGATCTGATTTCCACCCCCCAAAGGTAAGAGATGACAGTATTTTTTGCTGGATCAAATCTGTTCAGAAAGGAAAGAGCCAGGTTTGGCAAAGGGACGAGAATAATTTTGCAAAATGACAAATGCCCTGGAACAGAGAGTTAGAGGAGACGCCCTTTCCTGCACACGCAGGTTAATTCACACAACTCCCAATATCAGAGAGATGGGTGCTCCGTTCTGGATGCTGCCCTCCTGTTAAGCCATGAGAAAGTTTGCTCGGATGTTACAAGTTAGGAGAATCAATTCCGTTTCATTCAGTTGGGTTTCACGGGCTGTGCAAACCCAGCTTTACAGAGAAACGAAGGCTTGTTCCATCTGGCATTTTTCTTCAGATTTCTTTTTTTCCAAAAAATTGCTGAGCAATTAATTCAGGATATACATATATACATACATACATACATACATACATACATACATACATACATA